AGCTCTACTGCCCTTCTCTGGACATGCTCCAGCACCTTGATGTCTTCCTTGTGGTGAGGGGCCCAAAAATGAACACAGTATTCAAGGTGCAGCCTCACCAGTGCTGAGTCCAGGGCCATGATCCCTGCCCTAGCCCTGCTGGCCACACTAGCGCTGATACAAGCCAGGATGCTGTTGGCTTTCTTGGCCACCTGGGAACACTTTTCTTCTAACATGGATTGGATGCCTGTTGAGAAATCATGTGACAATATACTTTTTTTTTTTTTTTTAAGGGAAACTTGCTGCTACAACAGTCACACTCCAAAATACTCCATCCATTCTGAAAAGCTGCTGAAATGGAACTGAGATCTGCATATTTTACTGTAAAGGTTATACCAAATTGCCCTTGAGGAAGTGTACAAACCAAAGCAACACGTGAGTTTGGCCCAAGTATAGCTCATATATCATAGCAGAAGGTAAGATAACCCTGTTTAGGAAGATGGGCTGTTAACTTGTGCCTAACACACAGCTATGCAGCATTTAACAGCTGAATAAAACCATGAAACTCCACCTTGCATTAACATGGCCAGTTCACAGACCGTACTGTTGACAGGTACTGAGCATCACATTTCTCCTGCAGACTACACTAAACCACAACTGCACTGCAGGGCATGGGAGGAACAGAAATTCTGCCAATGGTTTTATTGGGGTCTGTGTTTGACCTAGTCCTCTTCAACCAGTGAAACAGAAGATCTAGCAGAATATAATCCAAAAATAAAATTTATATTTTATCAGCTCAAACCATGTTTCAAGTCAAATCCTCACATTATTAACTTGCTCAAATGACTGTATTTTTAGCAGCAAATCAAATTGTTATGGGTTTGATCAGTGGAAATGCTGTGCTAGGAGGTCACTAGACAATTCTCTTCGTCCCTGCAGTGATGCTTTAGTGCCCTGGCCCATGGCCTTGCAAAGCAGAGAGGATTTCAGAACTGGTCAAGCTCCTGGCATCTGGACACTTCCTAACTCCCCTGGGGAATCATGATTTCAGGTGCCTAAGGTTTCTGGAGTTTGAACAGGAGCTAGACATGATTTGCACTGGGCTCTCCAGGCATAGTTTTGCACACAATCTCTCACAAGAAGTATTTTCTAAAACTCAGGAGCTGCTGCCCCTGAGCCCAACATTTACAGACTAAGAGCTTCAACAGCCAGGAAACATAACACCTCAGGTCTTTTCAAGGAAAGCCAAACATGTATATACACACAAAAATAGACTTCTCTACACATTCAAAACATGAACTCTGTAAGAAATCTGTAATGAACCTAAACAGAAATGTGGGGGCAAAGAGAAGGTCGTGACTCACAACCCCACATACAAAACGTCACTAACACAGGATCAGTGGTTGCTAGACCCCACTCAAAAACACTCTTGACAAATGTTCCTAAAAAAAACCCAAAACACTAAAACTAACACATTTCAAACAAAAAAACACATTATCATAACACACTGTATGTTGATGACTCAATGGAATATGTATTTTAGATAAATTCAGGGTGTCAGCTAGCCCTTTCTTTAACTTCTCTGAGACTGCAAGTCTTCAAGAACTGAATGAATAGTTTCTGGGTTAGGTATCAGAGGACAGTCCAACTCAGGCAGCACTGTGGTGGGCATCTGACAAAGACCACCAGCCCAGAACAGGAAGTAGCTGAAAATTTCTTGATGTAGCTGGAAAAAGCCTCTTGATAGCAAACCCTGGCAGATCTCATCTCAGCCACCTTGCATCTGCTGGAAGTGCAGTAGGTCTGTGCACAAGCAATGCAGATTTACAGAGACCATTAAGGGCAGTTTCACAGGTGGCCAATAAGCTGATTAAGGGAGATGCTCTGCTGGATCTGGTACTCAAAAAACCCAAACAAAGCTGATGAAAGAAGGAAAGGCAAAGGCACCCTTTCCTTCAAAGACTCTGAAGCGTAAGGTCCTTGACTGCCTGTGCCAAAAGCAGCCAAACTTTATATGGAGCTGTACCAACGAAAGCAAAGCCAGCAGGTCAAGAGAAGGGATCCTTCTGCCATTTGGCCTTTTAAAGACACCCACACCCAGTTTAGGCTCCCCAGAATGACAACATTGACATACCTGAGACCATCCATCTGAGTACAGAGGTCCATCAAGATGATCACGGGACTAAAGCATAGGATGCAGAGAGAGTCCAGGACTGGGGTTTATTCAACATGGAGAAGGTGAAGGAGGATTTATTGCTGCCCAGGACTACCTAATGCAAGCACATAGTGAAGATGGAGCAAGGATCTTCTCGGAGGCACAAAGGGAAAAAATGAGAAGCAATAAGCATAGGCTGCAACACAGAAAATTTCCATTAAGTACACAGAAAAATATTCTCATCTAGAGGGTGGTCAAATACTAGGAGACAAGCTTAGGGAGGTTGCATGATCTCTGTCCTCAGACAACTGAAACTTACCTGGGAAAGCTGATCTTCAACCTGTCTAAATGGCTTTGGTGTAAGGACAGGAATGCAACAGCTCCAGGTGGTCCTTCCTAGCTCCATTATTCTACGAATGCCTGAGCCAAGTCCAACAGCACAATTACAACCCTGTACTCCAAGACAGCAGATTTCAGCTGAGAAATAGGTTTAGACCAGCCAAAGGACAGCAAGAAGAAAGTAATGAAGAAGGACAACATGTAGTCCGTGTTTTTCTCCCAATTCCTTCTCCTATAATGACATTTTCTATCATGATTATTCTCTGTCACATGCAGCTATGTATGTCACAAGGTGACCATCATCTATATCTAGATGTGTGCTGCAATTGTACATGTGTCTATGTGGGACTCTGTGTGTATATATATGTCAGTTTAAAGGATAATTCCCATTACTGATTACCAAATAATTTATTATGGCTTTGTGGGACCAATATTCAGTTAAAATTGGTGCTTTCTATAAGAAAAAAAAGTTTCATACTGAGCAATACTTTGTTTACTTATCCACTTTCCTTCCCCCAAGAGTTCATATCATTCACCACCTATTTTAATTGCTCACTGCCATCCCACCCAGAGTTTGGACATTCATTTCAGAGCACCTCAAGCATGTTTTAACAGCAAAACAAACCTTTCATCTTCTTACTTATTATTACATATGCCTGCTGCATAATGCTGACCAGAGAGTGGCAAAAGAGAACTTCTGTGACATCTATGGAGACAAATCTGTGGGCAGAAGGGAAGTGTTTTTCCTGTGAGATGCAGCCCTTCAAATCTTTAAATTACCTGAGGAGCAGCTTTTTCAAGCTCAAGTATAAGATGCAGGCTAGCCACAGCACTCGCCTTTGCCTCGAGGAAATTCCATGTGGATCATAGACCCTTAAGATCAGTCCAACCATTCACCTAACACTGCCAAGCCCACCACTAAACCATGTCCCTGAGCACCTCACACACACATCTTTTAAATCCCTCCAGGGATGGTGACTCCACCACTTCCTTGTGCAGTCTGTTCCAGGGCTTGACAAATCTTTCTGTGAGGAAGCTTTTCCAGTATCCAATCTAACCCTCCCTGGCACAACTGGAGGCTGTTCCCCCTTACCTTATCACTTATTACTTAGGAGAACAGACTGTCCCCCACCTTGCTACAACCTCCTTCCAGGGAGCTGAGAGCAAAGTCTCTCCTGAACTACCTCTTCCCTGGGCAGTCTGTTCCAATACTTGACAACCCTTTCTGTGAAGAAATTTTAACTCATGTCCAATCTAAACACTCCCTGGCACAACCTAATGATGTTTCCTCTTGCTTTATCATTTGTTACTTGGGAGAAGTAGCCCCACGTTGCTACAGCCTCCTGTCAGGGAGTTGTAGAGAGCAAGGTCTCCCCTGAGCCTCCTTTGCTCCAGGCTAATCAACCCCAGGTCGCTCAACTGCTCCTCACAAGACCTGTGCTCCAGACCCTTCAACAGCTCTACTGCCCTTCTTTGGACATGCTCCAGCACCTTGATGTCTTCCTTGTGGTGAGGGGCCCAAAAATGAACACAGTATTCAAGGTGCAGCCTCACCAGTGCTGAGTCCAGGGCCATGATCCCTGCCCCAGCCCTGCTGGCCACACTAGCGCTGATACAAGCCAGGATGCTGTTGGCTTTCTTGGCCACCCGGGCACAGGCTGGCTCATCTTCAGGCAACTATCAACCAACACCTCCGAGTCCTTTTCCACCAGGCAGTTTCCACCCAGGCACATGTTCCCCAGCCTGTAGTGTAGCATGGGGTTGACCCCCAAAATTACATATTTTCAGTAGCTTAAGGATCACACAAAAGTAAAAAATCCATTTCAAAACACAAAGCATCTCACTGTACAAAACAAATCAGGCCATAGTCAAATCTTTAATAAAAGCACTTTGAGTCAATGACAAGCAAGATAGAGCAGACATGACAACCCAGAAAAATCAAGCTGGGGGTAGAAGTGTGCTGCTGGTGTTTTCAGAGGATCAAACAAGGTCCCTAAACCTAAACATCCCAGTGGTGGCTTCTCAGCAGTTCACAATACACCAGAAGGCTGCTAAAAAAAAGAAATCACTTTTGCCTCAACCCTTGTCAAATAGGTGTGGAAGAAGCATAAAAGGGTCTTTTTGTTCTGACTAGTATGGATGGATTAAATTAACCCAGAAAAAAAACTCTGGTTTTAATCTCCAAGTAGGAGGTTAAGTTGATTTTATAGGAAGATGATCAAGCAACTTATACTCTTCCCTACTTTCTCCAGTTTCCTAACATGCACTTCAGCTAGGGCACCTCTGTGGAGAGAAGCCTGATGCTGCTATCCTCCTAATAGGAGTCATCTAATTGGAGCAGGGCATGGCAGAAAGTATCTCCCTGTAGAAATCATTTCCCATCTTATTGGTTAGTCTGTTTAAAGAGGCTGTCAGCCCCATGCATGACAAGACTACACATTTTCATTTAGCAATCTCCTGTTCTGCCCCCCTTATTACAACATTAGGAGCAAATACAAGTTGCATAGGATCCTTTTCACCATGAGACTAGCTAAGTAACCAGTTCTAGTTCCAAGAGTCAGAGTGATCTTCTTTCACAAACAAATAAGGCCCTGAAGCTCCCTTGGTAAGGGGAGGGGTTCTGCAGCACTGAGGAGCATAGCAAAGGGCTTGTTCTCAGAAGCCCAGCACACACAAGGACTTTGGAAGGTCATATCCCTGCACTTTGGTCTTTGGGCAGTGCCACCTGCTCAGTATCTGTAGTGGTCTGGCTTGAATGGCCCATCTCTTGATAATCCTAAGTACTTGGCCTGCTTGTCACTCAGCTTTGTCAGCTTCACACACAGTTTATCCAGATGAGCAGCAGCCACAGCTTCATCCAGCTGCAAAACAAAATATTGAGACACGAATATTAGCAGAACAGAGTCCTGTTAGTTCAGGACATGATTAATAGTGAGAAACAAATGTGTGAAAACAAACAGGATTTAACAGACTGATACAGATGAACCAACAGCTCTTTTCCTGCTAACATACCTCACCTACTTCAGGGCAGAGGCATCTGCTTTGAGCACAGAGCTGCATTCAGATGGAAAAGCCCCACATTTTGAGGGAGTCAAGTCAAGCTTAAGTGAGACAGATAAATTTATATAATCAAGCCCATTTCAATCTCATTTATACACATTCACATTCACCCAACAAATAAAGAACAGAGATAAAACTATTCAAAAATAAAACTATCCAGTTTGGTAGAATGGGAAAGCCCCAAACACATCTCCCTAGACATACCAGACTGTCAACTTACTATTTTAGGTCAGTTCTACTAATGGAAAAAAAATGCATCCCCTTTCTAGATATCCCATTTTAGGGGTATATGTATTAGAATATTAATCTCACAATCACTAATTCATCAAGAATACTAGTATCTCTTGGCATTGTCTTCATGAAGAATAAAGCCATGGTGGACTGTAGGACATGGGCTCAGAAGTGTTGATATACTTTATCTCAGAGGCATCTGGCAGACACTCTCAAAGGACTTAAAAATATGCAAAGTTACAAGATAGCTAAGTGCTGCAGAAAATAGGTAGAGAAAAGTAAAAAAGAAAAAGTAAAATTGCCAACTAGCTGCTATGTCAGAAGGGAAAAGATATTCCAAGCTAGAAAGGACAGCACTAAGAGGACTGGGTGCTGCTGAGTTCCAGCAGATGGACAAGTTTGACCATCATTTGTAACTCCTGCAAAATACAAGTAGCCATTGCTAAGGAAACAGGTACAAGGTAAGTTTAAATTCCAGTAGCATGGGAAAGACTGGTGACATTCCCCCAGATGTGAAAGGCTGCAGTATATTTGAAAGGCAAGAAATCAATAAAACAATTAAGGGCCAAATCTTCAGCTTGTGTGAACCACCATGTTCTAAATGATTCAAATAACGAGTCCTAGATTTCCTGTTCAAAGGGGGTGTGGTAACAATCTACTACTCTGGAGTAATCCCATTGTAATGAACCAGGTAAAAAGCTACACTTGTGCAGAGTACAATTCACTGCAGCTCAACCTGCTCATAGGAAGATGGAATTGGCAACATCTCTGGAGAACAGCACAGTCAAATATGTACAAGGCAAAATTAAAAAGATAGGATGAAGCACATGAACAATGTGAAAGTGAACCATGAAAGCTACCAAACACTACATAAAAGTCAGGAAAATCATGAAAGAAAGAAATGCTAACTGGAAGGACTGTGTTCAGAAGGGAAAAAAGTATTAAAGATTAGTAGATCCTGTCAGAAAGAAAAAGGGTTAAAAATTCCATGCATATCTGATTGACTTGACTGACATATGAAGATCTGGATAGGGGCATTTCCAGCAAGTTTAAGACATATTACACTCATTTGAAAAGGAGCCTAGGCCCTGACATTTCCCAGATCAGGTTCTCCAACTGCAGCAGAAATAAGTTGTTTCACAGTTGCTTCAGCTTGGGGAGGTGAAGATTTCAATAAAAAGGTACACAAATTTAGCTGAAGGTAAGCTGACATTCTTACCTTAAAATCAGATAGCTGAACATAGATTTGCTGCTAAGAACATGGATACAACAGCTTGCCTAGATTTCTAGGAACACCCACTGCAGAAGTGTGTGCATGTTTGTAATTGCTAATCATGGAAGCAATATTCTTGCAGTCAAAGAAGTATGGTAAGGTACTGCGTAATTCTTAAGTTTTACATTTGGACCCCAAAGCTACTACACAAAACAAGGGAAGATACTAGCCAGAAAATTATCACAGAAAGCTCTTCTGCCCATCTTTTGTTGGTTCTGACAAGTGCACTGCTTTATTCTTTGAAATGCTCTATGGAGTACAAAGGGTACAAAGAGCATTTTGGCACAGCCTATGAACCCAAAGAGATCACTGCCATATGATCCACAAACATAACTGTTCCTAACTGATCTGGGCACAACTCCCAGTTCAAGTACACTTACTGAAAACTGCTACTCACAAAGAGCATGAAGCCACATTTTATTAGTGACACTAGACTATAAATTCCAAGAGAATCATCAACAAAACTCTTGCTTTGAAGATGATTATGTGTCAGATTGCTGATCAGCTCCTACACTGCATTTCTGGTATGCTTTGCTTGATCATTAATGGTTGGTTTTGGAAGCTTATGCCCATCAGCAAACACTTAAGCAAGCCCAAACATACACATTCTATTTTTCCAAGAACACAGAGTTAAGTTTAAAGGGAAACCTGAGGCAATCTGTCATTAATTTTTTTGTAAAGCTATTAGGACCAGATTGCAATAGGCTCTGCTCACACACAAATGGGACCCAGACTCTACCAACCACAGTAAAAGTGACTTGTAGTTTCACCTCCACTTCAACTCTGCCCCACTAGACTCTGCTGCTGGATAAGCATGGGAAAGGTTGCTGTGAATGCTGACTTTCAGCAGAAGGAACAAGTTGGTTGGGAGAAGCTCCCTGACTAGCCTAAGGCAGTGCAGGGTTTACCAGCACCTTAGCAAAGAGCCCCAGGACATGCCAAAAAGTGACCGGCTGTTCATATCACAGGACAGACAAGTGCCAGTTCCATACATCAGATTAGCCATGAAAAAACAGCCTGCAGATGCAGCATGACCAAAGCCAAGTGTTCACTGAGGGGCAGGAGCTCCTTGCAGCAACATGCAGCAGGAAAATGAACACAAGCACAAACGAAACAAAGCTACGTGATCACATTTGAAGTTGGCTTTCTTACCAGCTTGCATCTTTCTGCTATTTTAACTCACCTTCTTTGGCAGGAAGTAGACTCCAACAGAGTATTTGTCACTATTGGTCCACAGCTCAATCTGTGCCAGCACCTGGTTGGTGAAGGAGTTGCTCATGACGAAGCTGGGGTGGCCCATGGCACAGCCCAGGTTGACCAGCCGGCCCTCGGCCAGCAGGATGACGTGCCGGCCGCTCCTCAGGGTGTAGCGATCCACCTGCAGGGGCAAGAGCAGCAGCAGGGCAACGTCAGGGTGGAGAGGGCATTTTAAATCATGCAGAGCTTTGTGGGCTTCCTTCCTGCACCAACAACTCCACAGTGGGCCTGCAACACAGACTTGGTTATAACCAAGGCATTCCTCCCTAGCCAGTGTTCACAAAACCCGTAGCTATTCTGGACTTCACACAGCCTGAGCCCCAGCACCTGCTTCGTGGTTCAGAATACTTAAACACCACCCCTGGAGATATTTAAAAGACATGCAGATGTGCTGAAGAACAGTTTAGTGGTGGACTTCGCAGTTTTAGGTTTGTGGTTGGGCCTGAAGGTGTTAAAGGTCTTTTCCAGCCTAAATAATTCTGTGATTCCAGACAACTGCATTTCTTATTCTGTCATAGCACAGCAACTGTGAAAAAAGGTTGTAGTGAGGTGGGGGTTGATCTCTTCTCCTAAGTAATTAGCTATAACACAAGCAGAAAAGGGCTTAAGTTACTCCAGGGGAGGTTTAGGTTGGATATTAGGAAGAATTTCTCTACTGACAGAGTGGTGAGGCCTTGGCCCAGGCTGCCCAGGGAGGTGGTGGAGTCCCCATCCCTGGAGGGGTTCAAAGAACATGTCAACATGGTCCACTCAAGGCTGGCACTTTTACAAACTTTAGCTAGTGGCTTGTAAGCAAACACTTGTTGCACACAGCATGCTGGCAACTTTTCACAGCTTTTGCTCTGTGAGCAGGTATCTCTTCTGCACCATTCTGAACATCCTGCTTGCAACAGCAGTGGTTTATGTAACAGACCAGAGGGGTTCAGGGTACAAGGCCAGTCTTCAACATTAAGCCATACAGACAATTGTGTCACAATTTTTCAAATGGACCTTAAGAGCCACACTGAACAGCCAGGTGCTGCTAGTTTGCATGATACCATATTAACATCAAACTTAGCCTTCAACAGTGTTTACTTTTTGAGCAGTCCCAGTTTTAGTTTTAAAACCCAAACTACCACAAAGCAAGCAGTAAGCACCAGGCTCCTGTTCAGCTCCATGCTGAAGTCACTTGCAAGACCAGTCTTGGAAGCAGTGTGAACTTGAGGGTAACTTCATCCCCAGCTGAGCCCATGTAGAGTGTCACAGCAGCACATAATGTATTGAAAAGGCTCACAACTGTTTAGTAAGAGTGATGCAGATGCCAAATAAGCATCAGAGGAGTTATGAGAAGTGGAAGGGCAGACTTACATCTACCATGATATCTGCTTGGGTGTGGCACCTTTAAATAAAGTAAAAACCCTGCCCCAGAATCCTGCTATCAGTGAGCACACTCCCTTTTCAGAAAGTAACCAGAAGTCCCATGCCAAGTCAAAGGCTGGTTTGTTTTACTTGATGTTATCTCCCCATCAGTGCTGGTGTTACAAAACAGTTTTGGATTTATTTTAGTTTTGTTTCTCTGCTTTAGGATATAGCTGAAAAGCTGACATTTTTAGATTCTTATTTTCCTGTGTAGGTAGTATAGCCATAACTTGAAGGAAATACATTGTGGGAATGCAAGCTGAGCAAGGGTAAAACATCTCACCTTGTCTACCCAGACACAGACTCCTGGTTTACACAGGTTTCTAAAATTAAATCACTACATCTGGAAGTCTAAATCTGACAGATCTCCAGATATGCTTTCTTGAGGCTTCAGTCTCCAAGCAAAGAAAAAAAAAAAACAAACTTTGAAAACAAAGAGAATTTAATTTTTTCAAATGACAGAATCCCCTAAGACATCCCTTTGAACTTCACTCTAATCCTGGCACCCTGCACTAGGACCAAGACTGTTATGGTGCCAAGCAGTACATGAGCAAGCAGCTTCCTGAGACAAAACTCAGATCAACCACTAGGCAAGCTATGGGCTCTGTTCTTAAGTTTTATATGCTCTCTAATGATCTGTTCTGCATTCATCATCTAAGTTGCTTTTTGAAACTGAGCTATGGCATTGTTTTCAGCTGGGAGCTACCAAAGAAAGCACATTTCCACACCTCTTCACCATACCCCAGATGTCAAAGCTGACATCCTGTAAGGAATGAACTTGATGTAATTAATTGTCTACACAACCACCACTATGAGGTAGCTTCCTGTTTGTCAAGGAGGTAGAAACACAGAGAGAAGGATGCAGCCATATCGGGCACCTCTTGTCAGAGGCCATGCTGTACACTTGAGCGCTGGCTGGAACCAACCACTCCAACACCAACACAAGGACATGATGTGCAGCTTGCTCCAGGTTAATCAGGGAAGAGAGCAGAGTCTCCACTCTGATCAGCCCAGAGCACTACTGTCTTCTAAGAAAGTTAGAGGCAAAGTACCTGAAGAGAAATATCCCCCCTTTCTGGAAACAGACAGAGTCTGCTTCTTCCTAGCAGGAGAGCTTGTGCAAGGGCTCACCTGAGGTTTAACGTTCACCACCTCTACAGCATTTTCATTCAGCCACTTGGCATCAACTTCCACATCAAAATGGCCAATATTACACACTATGGCATCATCCTTCATCTGCTCGAAGTGCCTGCAAAAGAAAAGTTGTTTCAAAATTTAATGCACAAAAATAATTTCTTCAGCACCAGCAGATGCTGTGATCCATAGTTCTACCTGCAGAAAGTGAGTGCAAAGTGCCTGGCTCACTGACTGCATTTGACTCTCACAAGATGTGTGGGTCTGAATCTTCCAGGTATGTCACATCTACTGAAAAAAAACCCTCAAGCTTTTAGGAAAGGATACTTCCCCTGGATGTAAGGTTATTGGAGAGAAAGTATTTTCCTATTATTGAAAGTAAAGCTATTTTAATTGGTCAAAACTGAAGTACCTGAAGTATTCTTTCTTCATGAAGAAACAGTTCTATTCATGACTTGAAAGTTTCAGCAGTTCTACATCTCTAGAGAATAATGGCCTTTCCCACTTACCCAGCCTTCCACTACAGCATGCACAAACACAAAGGCAAGATAGGAATGAGTCTGTTTAGAATGTAGGGGGTGTAAATGGCAGAAGTGGTATCAAAAAAACTGCAGAGTAGTTTACTGAGAACAGGCTACTTCCAGGTCTGCTACACATACTCACAGATGGAATCACATTAACCTTTACAAGCTTCCTCTTCTGGTCCCATTTATCTGTCCTAACAGAATTTAGTTCTCATGCTCTCCTTCTCCAGGTGTTTATCTATCCCTCTAGACCTTTTGTTTCTGTCACTATATGCTGTAAGACAGGAACAACTGCAACATGGCAACAGCCACCAGAGCTGGAAGACCAAAGTCCCAATTTCTCACTAAACTGTTGCTAAATTCTGATGTCCAGAATGAGACTGTGAATCTTCACCATACTGCTGGCAATTAATGATTATATTTTTAAAAATAAAGTTTAACTGCACATCTATGCTTTCACTAAAGCAAGTGGCTAGACCATACCTGCCCTGAACAATGTCAGTGCAGCCAGTGGTGGTAACGAAGATATTGCCCTCCTTGCAGGCCTCCTCCATGGTTGTAACTTCATAACCTGAAAAGAGAGAAAGTTACTCCTCTGCCAAATTACCAGCACTTCTTAAAAACCAGGATACAATATTATAGTAGAAAAGAATGGAGAAAAAAAAAAAAAATCAGTAAAAGCCTGTGCCAACACCTGACCTCTGGAGGAAGCAAAGTAGTGGGTATACTTGTCTTACTAAATACAAACAGCATGAAAATCTGCTCCTCACTTGTTTCAAACCTGTAGATCTATACATCCAATGTCTTATATGCATAGGTGTAGTACCTGGCACAGCACTCAAACTAGAATCAGGGGGTCAAGTTTGCAAAGGAAAGTGCACCCACAACACCTGCAGTTTCTAGTTAGGTATGAATAGAAAGGGATAAACTGGTACTAAAAAGCAGAGTTACATGAGGTGTCCACAGGAGAAGCAGCACAGCTTCCAGAGCATGCCATGAGCAGAGCTGGAAAGGCAGAGAACATAGCATTGCTCTCCAAAGCCATCCACTGAACATAAGGTCTGGTGTTTTACCATGGGGATATTTCAGTGGAGTCTTAACCCACACTGGAGGTTAGAGCTGCACCTTGAAGATAATGAACCCATTCAAAACTAGGCTTACAGCATAATGAAATGGGGGCCTTAGTCCACTATGGCCACAACACCTGCAGTTTCTAGTTAGGTATGAATAGAAATGGGATAAACTGGTACTAAAAAGCAGAGTTACATGAGGTGTCCACAGGAGAAGCAGCACAGCTTCCAGAGCATGCCATGAGCAGAGCTGGAAAGGCAGAGAACATAGCATTGCTCTCCAAAGCCATCCACTGAACATAAGGTCTGGTGTTTTACCATGGGGATATTTCAGTGGAGTCTTAACCCACATTGGAGGTTAGAGCTGCACAACTTGAAGATAATGAACCCATTCAAAACCAGGCTTACAGCATGATGAAATGGGGGCCTTAGCCCACTATGGTCTCTGTAGCCTTAACTCCAAACACATCTTCAAGGCCCCTACTAATAAATTCCTTCCCTAAGCCTAAGGAAAGAATTCCTACAGTTAAACTGGAGTCAACTCTACATCAACAGGCACAGGGCTGAAACCCACTGAAACTTTCTCAGGCAGCTATCATTTAATGCTACACGGACATGCACAGATCCCTGTCAGGTGCATTAATTCCTTCACCTCCTGCAGCTCTCACCTTCCATGGCTGCCTGGAGCGCATTGATGGGGTCGATCTCCGTGATGATGACTCTGGCTCCAAAGCTGCGCAGGGCCTGAGCACAGCCTTTGCCCACATCACCATACCCTGCCACCACTGCCACCTTTCCAGCAATCATGACATCTGTGGCACGTTTGATGCCGTCGATGAGAGACTCTCTGCAACCATAAAGGTTATCAAACTTGCTCTGAGGAAGAAAAAGAAGCAGTTTCAGAACAGAGGATAGTCACTCAAGTAAAAATTCCATAGAGAAACAAAATGGACTTACACCAAGTACTGCAAACCAGGAGGCTGACAGTCAGCTGAACTCTAACCACAATGAGGGATGGGAAGAGGACAAACTAGTTTGATATTTATCCATTTCAGTCTATACAGTTCTACCAGATACAGGCTTCAGCACTCTTCTGGTAAGAAGCATTTCATAAATGTTGTGGCTTGGACACATTAAAAACTTACTAGAGGTAACCTGAATTTATCAAGTGAAAACACAAACCATCTTTGCATACAGAGGTAGGTCCAAGTTCCTTAACAAGATGCTCACCAGTTCTCTGCTTCTGTTTTTGAGACAATGAACCGAACCAAGTGCCACAGACAGGCAAACCACAGCAGCACAATATCTGGTCAATTGATTAGCACATTCTTATCTTTGCAAGACACGTGCACCCTCAAGAAGAAGGAATTTGCTTACATCAACTACAAGAAATTGGCATCCAGGAAGGTCAAAATTTTATCTTCCCCCAGGAACAGTTAAACTAACATTGCCAGACCTCCTCACTGCTCCAATCTAGAAAAATCCAGCTAGTAGCTATTCACAACACTGGTTACTGTAACCAAGGACTCCTGGATTTCATCTCCTAATGCCCCATCGCACAACATCTTCCTACTGTAACATTAACATATGAGCTTAACAGCCAGACCTCCAAATCTAAACTCCCCTGTTAAGTCAGATGTCCAATAGTACTCTGCTTGAACACGTTCCTAAACTCAGAAACACACTGTTGTACTGATTTTTATAATGCTTCTCCTTTTTCTCCTTGAGCCCTTTATATGGCACATCTTCCTGATCAAAACAAACAGATTTGATTATCTGAAGAACTACAGAAGCCAAGAATTTTTAAAAAAATCTGGCTACTAAAGTTGTGCTTCCCAAGGGGGGGGGGGGGGGGTAAAGAACTCAGCATTCACAGCAAAATTCCAGTCTCAAAGCCTGCACCTGTTTTCTACAGCCCTTGGTCACCAACCATTCTTGCTCTCATTCAACACAGGTAGCACGCTGCCTGCTGTAAGCAAACTTAAGACTGCATATACTTAGATTTTAACAGGGGCACTGATCTTTCAAATGGGACCTACCCTGCAGCTACAGCTGGTGCCATCTAGCATGTGTAAGGTGATGTTACAGTTTGGTTTTCAGGCAACAGCTTACAACTAACATTTTTATAATAAAAAAAGATGCAAAGTCCATGTATAAAATTGTTGCAACTATGACTACAATTCATTATCTGAGCAAGTTACAAGATAGAGCAGCATATCACTCCCAGCCTCAGAAGCTGGCCAAGGATTCATGTGTAGGGAGTTACATTTCAGTTCCAGAAGTTCTTCACTCAGTACTTGTAGGTCTTAGCACAACAAGCACATTTGCCATAAATATTTCAGAAAATTTCTGTTACCAATTCTTCAAATTCCAAAGCTAGTGCCAATTGATAATCCTCTTTTCTAGTCCTTCAGATTTCCCTTGCAGTATAAGCCTTGTTATGGAGGAAAGCAGCATGGTCAGATTAGATTCCTCACCACCAAATCCACCAACTGCAGTCAGAACCTTCCAGGTGCCTTTGCATTCCCACGTAGGCAAGGCAGCAGAGTGCTGGATACAAACATCTGTCCCACCCCAAAATACATTTGAGCAGCAAGAGGGAGGAACAGAACTGGATGGTGTTTTCTCTCCAAATACTCATGTACCAACCTGGCATCAACTGAAAATATCAAACTAGATAGATTTTTTTTTCAGCTCAAGTGCACATCTTCCTGCAGCTCTGTAACTGTGCCTAGCACAAGCCTTTTACTACGTAAATACCAAACTTCATTTGAAAATAAGCACTTGTTTGGCACTAGAACAAAGTGAGCGCAACCCAAATCCACTCAAGCTTTTTTTGAAACATCTGATCCAAAACTACTAAGCAGTATTAATAGCTATTATGCAGGAAGCACAACTCTAAGTGTTTTCACCTAGGTGCAAAGACACAAGCTTCTTCCATGATCAGCTAGATTCCAGCCCACCAGGTATGAAATAAAATGCCAGATGCTTCTTTGTGAGCGGAAAGGACATACTCTACAGCTAGCAAACTGCAGAGAAGGCAGATCAGTCAGTAAGAACTGCCATGCCCAGTAGGATAAGGTCAGTATGGTAACTTGCAAGAGATTTACCAACTAGATTGATAAAAAAGCATCTAGACACAAACCTGAAGTATGCCTGAAATTCCCACTATAATTCATCTGCCTCTAAAAAGCACCAGCACCTTTTAAACACCATTCTTCCTCATCCCTCACATCACCTGGATTTGTTTTGGGAAGCAGTCCTGTAGCTAAGCAAAGAACAAATACCTCCTGCTTTATCCTTTGCAACTGTAGTTCACAGAGATACTCGGTGAGATCCACTGACCTTCACCAGCCACAGGCTCAGGCAGGTCACATTTTTCCAGCTGGTACCTGCCACCTCCCTAGGGGTTTTAAGCTACTCAGAGTGAGGACATGCCCCTTGCCACAGGAACTGACTTTACCCAGGAGCCATGATTTCCAAAGGTGTTCCTACATTATTAAAATGCAAAAGAATGTTATGTCCTTACATACAAAAAAAGCCCTTGATGTTCTGAAAACAGAGTATTTACAATGACATGTCCCATCAGAAACATCAAGGGCTCCCTGCAAGGATATGCTGAAAAATCTGTTCAGTACCAGGTCAGGAATAGCTCAGCAAAAGAAAGGAGTACTTGCAAGGGAATGACAACTCAACACCAAACTAGTCAGACAGAAGAACAGAGCAGAAGTGCTCCAGTTGCATTACCTTGGTGACAGAGTCATTCACATTGATAGCTGGCACTTTCAGGGTCCCATTGGCCTTCATCTTGTACAGGTTGTGAACTCCAGTGGTTGTCTCTTCTGAAATACCTCTAATTCCTGTGGGGAGAGTAAAAGAATTCACCTTAGCTGGAGTTAATACTGCTGCAAACCTACACATCCAGGTGCTGGGAGCATCTTCCACAGGCCCAAATTAAACACTTAGCAGGAAGCAGGGAAGAGATGAGAACCCTCATTTCAATCCTCAAACAGTAGTTTGAAACTTCAAACCAGATTCTTACTCAACAAAGCAATGAAAGGAGCAGGACAAAATATTCTTTGGAAAAAGGGAAAGAACCAGTTCTTGACCCAGGAATGAGGAAAGACCTCACTCTGACCTGTTCTCTCAAAGAGATCCAAAAGCATTTCTGCAAAATGGGCAAGATGTTCACCTCAGTGAAGTTTCTACAGCCCAGTCCATTCTAGCAAGGTGTTCTGAAAGATCTGTTCTCAAGGGTTTGTAGTGACAGGACAAGGGGCATTGGTTTTAAGCTAGAAAAGGGTAGATTTAGGTTAGACATTAAGAAAGTCTTCTTTAATAGGAGGGTGGTTGATCACTGGAACAGGTTATCCAGAGAGGTGGTGGAGGCCCCATCCCTGGAGACATTCAAAGTCAGGCTTGACAGGGCCCTGAGCCACCTGACCTAGTTAGAGATGTCCCTGCCTACTATAGGTGGGTTGGACTAGAGGGCCTTTAGAGATCCCTTCCAACCCAATACAGCCTATGATTCTGTTTTCCACACAGCTAATTAGCACATCTACTTGAAGTAGACTTGAATGAGCCCTACTTTCAGCTGTTAGTTACACACTGGGACTGAACTAACTTCCCTTTCAATTAGAAGCAGCTGAAGCATGGAGGACAGTTTCCTTAGAAATTAGCCCAGAAAACCTGTCCAGCAAAGGGCACTTTCAGATGCTGCATGTCAAAATGCCTCCTGCACTTACAATCCAGTCTTTGCACACACTGCATGCTCTGCTAATATTACTCTTATTCTGCTTCTCCCCCCACAGACATCAAATATCACCACAAGCCCTTAGGATACCTTAGCCTCTATTATCTTCAAGATACAGAACCCAGATGCTGTCACCTTCCTTGAAGCACTCCTTGCAGCAGAGGGCAAAGAGCAGAGCTTGGTTAAAGGAGAAAAGGGCTCCACTCAGTGGGTCCCACTTTGGAGGCTTTGCTGTTTCCAAGAAGCAACAGACTAGAAGGTAAAACTAATCAAGATCTGTCATCTTCTACAGAGGTCAGCCTTAAATTGTTTATTGAACTGCTGCAAAGAGGCTTTTCCATTATGGTCAGTGCAGACAGCACATGTTTTGGCAAGGGAAACATTGCCAGGTATGGTATCCTGCACAGACTCCTTAAAAATCCTGTGGAATAGCCAATTCTATGAATTTAGGAAGCAATTCCAAGCAGTATGGATGGGTTTTTTTGGTCAATGGCAGACTAGAGATGCATGCCAAGACAGGAGACAATTCAACAGCCATTGCCCTACTGCACTACACTGCACTAGTCCCTTCCACACTAGGAGGACAAGACAAGTAAGAGGGAGCAAAGGTCTGGAGAGGAGGCAAGCAGACAGCAGGAGGGCTGAAAGTGTGAAAGGAGCTCAACACAAGGACCTCCCCAGGAACAACACCAACGCAGGTGCGTGTTGCACAACTCTTGCATGCCAGGAATCTGGAGAAAGCAACCCTGCAAAATAGAGTAGGAACACTGAAAATACATTTTTTGGCCTCTGACAATGCAAGGAAGACAGGAAGGCATGATCAGTTGTGATATTCTCTGACATCAAATGTCAGGGAAGCAAGAGGTCATGATTACCAAGAGAGGCATTCTAGGAAGCAAGAGAGGGGACCCCAACATGGCTAAGTAGACACCAATGAAAAACTCTCATTACAGTTTCAGTAACACAAAGATGTTGACTGTTAGATTACTGGGGACATCAGGCTGAGGATGAAGGAGAAAGTGAGGCCTGCCAAAAAAAAAAGTTTCCTCTCTTCCTCCTCATCCTGCACATGGATGGGGAGCAGCCCCAGACTCCTCCCCTTGCACAGCCCTACCCATGGCCTGCTACCTTCAGATTTTTTTCCCTCTAGCTTCCTCAAAGCAATGGAGACCTGATCCAGTGGGCTTCTACACCAACCTCACCTGTACAGATTAAAAACAAGCATCAGCACACCCCACTGTATCAGTTTTGTTTCCATGCCATATCAACATCCAATTCTCTCCACATCCCACTTCAAACATGTCCTCTAGCAACACTGGGCATCTGTGGCTGGCAGCAGCAGATGTGATGGACACTGGCAGAGCTAAGGAGCATCTGTCATACTTGCCAGACAGATCAACCAGCTACTGCAGGTCATGACAAATTCCCTTCAGATGAATCTTTTCACATAAACATGTGCTAGCAAAACCACACTGACCTGTTTTACTAACTTACACTGAAGGTAACAAGTCAAAGCAGGAGTCCCAACCCCGACCCCATCAGCACCTTCACTGACAAGCTGCATGAGTGAAAGCCCTGCACCTTACATAAGGGAGAAAACTCTTCCCTTTCCAAGAAAGTCTACAGGCTGTCATGAGTTGATCCAATGGTGCACTAAGAGGATGCAGAAGAAAAAGCATTAATGTTAAAAATATTAATTGCAAGGAGACATGAAGCAATTTTAAAACACCTCATTTCCAGGAAGCTTTTGGCAAGTCAGTAGTACCATCTCATTCTCGGGTAATAGGCCCTGTGAAGGATGACCAGGACAGATCACTGTAGCTTATCCACCACAGAGCAGAGATGATCTCTTACCTGCAGGTAAGAGATTCTGGTCTTGGACTGTAAACAATGTTCACAGACTCCTTCATAGCCTGTTTGCACATGCCAGCCCCTCTTTCCCCACCCCTTTGACACAAAAGCAGGGAGTTCTCCCAGGAACAGACTGCATAAAGAGCCTCCCAAGAAGAACTGTGCCTGACAACAAAACACAAGTCACCTTTCAAGAGCTGTGGGTACTTGGTATGAACTAGGTTGGTAAGATCTCCACCGTCGTCCAAAATCATGTTGAGGGGCTGCCCGTCCTTGAAGTACAGGGTCTGCTCAATGCACCACAAATATTCCTCATCTGTCTCCCCTTTCCAGGCAAACACTATATAGGAATAAACACACAATTAGCCAGTTCCTTACTCAGCACGGAATAAAGCAGCCAAAGGAAGATTTAATCTGCAGCTCTCAGTAGCAGAGTCAGCAGGCAGATGATTATCTGTGCATGTAGGACAGAAAAGACATTTGCATTGAAAAAGAAGATCTCAGAATGAGCAGATGTGAAATCACTTTGCCTTCTTTTCCAGGCTACAAACTTGGTCAAAGTTTTGAGACTTTACTGGTCTCCTTATTCTTCTCCCATGTTAAGAGGGGAAAAAGCAAAGCAAACTAAAGCAGACTCACATCCCCAGCACCCCACTCGATCCCCTAATACACCCTGTGTTACCAGAAATTAAAAATAGCCACTGGATAGATTGATACAGACAAATGAAAACACAACTACAGCATTTTCTAGCACAGCAGAAAAGAGGGACTAGACTTCAGCATGAGCTGAACACCAGACTACAAACTCTTCAGCAACTTTCAGTTGGAATTCTAGTCTTTAGCACATCACTAAAATCCTATCTGCTGTGCCTTGTATCTCACTAAGGCATATTCCTATACCAGTACATCTACCACCAGCATGCTGTACCTGGAGGTGTTTTTGCCTTTCCAGGCATTGTACTGGCCTCATGCTGTACTTGAGCCTCAGTGGTACTCAGCCATTCAAACATGTATTAGACACACTATTTATATGCCCCAACATCTGGAAAAAAATGTCATGTTTTCACTGTTTACATAGAAAACTAGCCCTGAGCCATCAAGAGCCAATAATACAATTGCCCTTGCCCTTTCTGGAAAAAAAAAAAAAAAACAAACCTGCATTAGTATCTCATATTGCACCCAAAGGATTCACAGTCCTCCAAGGCCTTGTAAATACATGAAGTGCAATATGAACAAAAAGAGCAAGTTCCACCAAACAAGCATACCAAAGCATACAAACACTCCACCTGTCAACTGCTCTTCTCTTGAGTTTTGGCTGTTGAGAGCTGTAGTGTAAGGCAATATTCTAACATCAGATCTGGAGTCCCACCAGGTCCTCTGACATCACATGCCAGAGGCAAGCAGAGGAGGTGATGCCTCCAGCTAGTAATGCCAAAGGAGCTGATGAAGGGATCGTTTTCTTCTGTTACCTTAGAAAGGCTGGGGAAAGACTTGTGGCAACAGCTAGTTATAACAGAAATTAAATACACCTCCCAAAGCAAAGAATCAGGCTGCCAGAAATCAGATTTAGCCTCTGCCAACATCCAAGCTCAGGCCGTGAAGTTCCCAGCACAGAGCCACAAGGACTGTAGGTCTTTAGGCTGAGTAACAAGCAGACAACTTAACATATTCATAATGATCTACAAAGAATTGCTCTTTATGGAAAGGTGACAATACAACAGCAGCATCCTGATAAATCACTTCAGAGATATTAGGCAGCAACACAGCTGGCTTAGCTCTAGCCTAAAACCAGCTCCAGTAAATCCTGTCACTGGAGTAGGGCACACTGTACTTAACAGCCCTTCCCAAACACCCATTTAGCACCAAGCTTGCTGGAAAGCTCCAAACACCTCCCTCTACACAAACATACACACTCATCCATTTATTTACTCTGCTGGTTCACCCACCTTAATGGCCAGGCTTAAAGCTGGGAACATAGAGCCAGGCTCTTCCACAGCCTAACACCAGCCATTGTCTAGAGTGCCACCCATCATCTGATGCAATGCAACTTGAATCAAATGCTTTGGTTTGTAACAATCACTGCTTTTGATGGGCCATTTCTATCCTGAAGCTTGTTCAGAAGAGCTTGGTTTGTACACAGTTTGACTCAGAACAGCAGAACATCCCAACTCAGAGCTAAATCAGAACATGGAAAACTTACCAGGGATACCAGCTTTTGCAATAGCAGCTGCAGCATGGTCCTGAGTGGAGAAAATGTTGCAGCTTGACCATTGTACCTGGAAAACAATCCAAGTTATGTTTGCTGAACAAAGTTCTGAGATATCAGGCACTCTTCCAAACACAGGAGTTAAGCAGGCAGCAACAGCAGAAAAGCCTATCAGTGTAGGCTCCTGCCCTTCCCACTAGCTCTGCAAAGTTAAGGTGTATAAAATAAGTACCTGACAGGGCCAGGGAAAATGTCACTTTGGGAGAGAATGCAATGGCTGAATACGAGGCACAACTACAGCTCAATCTCCTCACTCATAAGAGCTTCTGTTAGACAGCCAGAGCATACATCCAGCTCTAAGTCTTCAGGAAGTGCACAGTAAGGTGGGTTTAGTAGGGCTTTGGTCAAAGTTCAGATTTTCAGAACAGCCACACAGCACGTGTCTGCTGAGGGGTAGGGACATGCAGCAGCACACCTGCTGACACTCAGAAGGGTCAGAAATGCAGCAGAAACACCACACAACCAACAGGCATTCTCCAAGATCACACTTATCCAACTCCCACTCTGTGCTCCAGTCACAGAAGCTCTTCCAGCTGAGCTAAGTTTTCCACACAGATTTCATAACTAGGCTCATGCACCTAGAAAAGCATTGGCATGTTGCTGGGTTGTTGTGAAGAGTATCTGCATACCTACTGCAGCTCCCCAGCAGTCACAGAAACCACCACATCCCAGGGCCACACAGGAGTTCTCCCTCTGCTCCTGACAGGGCTGACTGGCAGGTATTTGCATGCTTATTGTAACAGACCTTGAGGAGAGGGGGTAATAAGGTATAATCCTTCAGCCTGTTCTCAGGTACTCATCCCATTTTATCAAGAACTGACACTTCAGAGTAAGGGCTGGAGTAGAAAGCACCTCATCTGAGTATACACAGCCAACACTTGGCAGTGAAACCACACGTGGAAGGAGCACAGGAAAACTGAATTAGTGACCTTAAGCACTGCACCTCCTCACCTGGATTTTTCTAAGCTCCCCCAGTATCAGCAGAGATGACATCAGGAGGTGTCATGAAATTCAAAGTATACAGAATACCTTTATACTGTTTACACTTCAAGCACATGATACAAGACCTCAGCCACTTCAGCTCAGCATCCTCACATCCGTGACACCAGTCTGTGAGAATGGAACACACCCTACAATAACTGGCATACCCCATGGGCTCAGGGCCTAATATTTGTATCACTGATTATGAATAGGATGCATTTTTGTTGCAATTTTAAGCCTTCTACTCTAAGTATTTATACAGAGTATTTACTCTGTCTTTGTTAACTTAAGAAAAAAGGGATACCAAGATTTCTATGCTGCAGTGAGCTACATCCTCAGCATGTAGGGTATGGTTTAACCAGTCTCACTCCACCTCCCCAAGCAGCTAAGTTTTGGCAGACCAGATGAACCAGGCCTGAATCCCAACTCAGGTCAAAGTCTAACATGTAGGTATCAGGACAAGGAAGGAGTTAACACAACAGCACACATCTTAAAGGCACAACCATAACTTATGCTTAGAGGAACCAAATCTCTGCAGCTACCTCCCTGAATGACTTAGATGAACCCCATACAACACTGATTTGGGGTTGTGCTCAGACTAAAGCAGGCTGGCAACATTTAAGTAAGCATGCAGCTGCTGCCCAGGCCAGCCATACTGGGATATGGTTACCAACAGGAGCAGCAAGGAGCTTCCCAAATTTCAGTGGCTGCTGCTTTCTTTTAACTTTGGTGGAAGGACAAGAGTTTCATCCACAGTAGCTGGAATAAAGCCAGGACTGTAGCTCCACATCAAAGCTCTCCTTCAGCACAGCACCACTTGCAACCGTTGAACTGCTCTGACCATGCTGAAGAACACCTGCACAGCTGCAGGCACCTTGCCCAGGCTGAGCTGGCATGCTGCCCACACCCACCCTGACACTCCTGGAGGAAATCCCTGAGCCACTAGAGAGCTTCCCCTCCTCCCAGTGCCTTTTCATCAGCATGACACTGCTCAACTCTTTCATGGGATGGATCCTGTATCAGGCACCTCTGGGCAGCCCACGTGCAGGCAGCTCAACTTCAGGAAGAAGGAATTTCACATGACATATTTAACCTCCACCACCAAGTTGCAGTCAGCTCTCTGCTCACCATGCAAGCTTTGGGGGCTCTGCTCAGATGCCTGCCTCTCCTCATGCCCTGTACAGTAACGCTCAGCCATGACGTTTGGACTCATGCACCAAGCAAAGCAGGGGGCTCAATGCAGGAAATGCCTCAGAAGTACCTCAGTCTTTAATATAGACCAGGGCAACTGGTCCATAGTCACACAACGAATTCAAAGTGAAGTCCTCAGCCCTCAATCCCTACACCACATGGCTTCCCTGTTTTCCTGCACAGCTCAAGGCCCAGCGTGAGCTCTCAGAAAGCTTCGTTAGTTTTTGCTGACTTTACCAGGGCATGGTGTGGTTCTTAATACAGGCTAATCTGTGCTGGAGGCAGTCACTAGAGCTTCAGCATTGCCTACAATAGCACTGCATGTCCAAGCACAACACAGTTGCATGGGAGTAGCTTTTGGCACTGCTGCTCAGGGTGCTGTACACACAGCTGACAGGGCTGCTGAAGCCAGTGACCCAGCCCAAAACGAGCACGCACAAAGACCACAGAATTATTCTGGGTGGAAGAGACCTTTAAGATCATCAAGTCCAACCATTAACCCAGCAGTGCCAGGTCACCATTAAACCACATCCCTCAGCACCACATCTACACAGCTTTTAAATCCCTCCGGGGATGGTGACTCCACTGGCAGCCTGGGCCAGTGCTCTATAGCCCTTTTGGGGAAGAATTTTTTCCCAATAGCCAACCTAAACCTGCCCTGGTGCAACTACTGTTCCATTGCATGTTAGTTGGGAGAACAAAACTGACCCTCACCTCACTACAACCTCCTTTCAGGGAGTTGCAGAGTGATAAGGTCTTTCCTGAGCCTCCTTTGCTCCAAGCTGAGCAATCCCAGTTCCCTAGTTCTTTAAGGCCCTCCACCAGTTTCATTGCCCTTCTTTAGACCCACTTCAGCACCTCAACATCCTTCTCATAGTGAGGGGACCTAAATGAACCCAGTATTTGAGATGCAGGCCCACCAGTGCCGAGTCCAGGGAGATGATCCCTGCCCTAGTCCTACTGGCCACGCGAGTGCTGATACAAGCCAGGATGCCCTTGGTCTTCATGGCCACCTGGCCACACACTGGCTCATATCCATCCAGCTGTGGACCAAATCCCCAGATCCTTTTCTACCTGGCAGCTTTCCAGCCACACTTCCCAAAGCCTGTAGCTTTGCACAGGATTGTGACCCAAGTGCAGGACTCAGCACTTGGCCTTGTTGAACTTCATACAACTGGCCTTGATCCTGGATGGTTGGTCTATAACAGAGTCCCACCATGGTACCTGCTTTGCTGGCTTTCCCCCGACTCTTACACATAGACACTCAACTCTACCATCATCATTATGCTCAAGACAATCAAAGCACCCGTAACACACAGGCCCACTCCACTGCCACTCCTTACTGGCCTATGCCTTCTGAAGAGCTAACAGCCCTCAGATGAGGCTTTTCCAGAGAGAAGGCACCTACAACATCCCAGAGGTGCACGCAGCACGGGTGAAAAGCTTTTTGCTTAATGAGAGAAGACATAATCCATCCACCTGGAGACTGCAGCACAGTCTCTTCCAAAAAGTACAGACATTTGCCAAGGTCCCTTCAGGTAGTTATAGAAGCAGAAGCTGAGCCCCAGGCAGAGCATTACTTAAGAGCATGATGAAGGAGAAGCTTAGTGACACTGCACCTGAGCTCCCAGCTCGATCAGGGTCTCTATGAGAACCGCTGTCTGCACAGTCATGTGGAGGCAGCCGGCGATGCGCGCGCCCTTCAGCGGCTTGGAGGCAGCGTACATCTCCCTCATCTTCATCAGCCCCGGCATCTCGTTCTCTGCAATCTCGATGGCCTTGCGACCCCAGTCTGCCAGGCTGATGTCAGCTGCAAGAGAAAGATGACAGCTGTCAGAGTTTAAATAGCTGAAACCTTGGTATCTGTTCACACCCTCCACGGCAAGGCATTGGCTGCTACGTCTGAATGCCCAGCAACAGCTGGGAGACAGTTGGTGGAAACCCAGATGCTATTCCAGTTACTCCCTGCTTTTTTACTACGGTACACAGGCTTCCAAACAAGTTCAGACCAAATCTAATAGCCTCTCTGAAAAAAGCGTGCTGCTGTATGAGTATATTAATCAACCAAACTAGCATGCAGACACCCGGAGGCATGTTAATGCAGTAAGCCTCAGGCTTAAGCACTCCTCCTTACAGACACTGCCCAAGGGCCTAACACTTCCTACAGGGATTTACTTCCACACTCTCAAGAGCTGCACAGGGGAAGAGGCTGGCTGTATGGCAGCAGCATCCCCACACGAGATCACAGACAGCATGGTCCTTGCCAAGTGCACGAGGCACTAAACCCAGCCCAGCTCCCCCTCTTAAGAACTGAACTGCAGGTTTCCTACCCCCTTGTACCACAAAGACTATGTCCAAGGCACCATAACTACCTTAGTTACAAGCCTACTTCTGCCTTTGTAAAAAGGACTGGTAGCAGAAAAGTTCAGAAAAATCTGAACAAAAGAGACTTTTAGACAAGGTCATGGTAGAAAATATTACACTCACCATGATGTCTGACTCCAGCCTTCTTCCACCTGCCTAGTCAACACAGGCCACTTAAAGGACTGGGGAACACCAGGACCTCTGACAGAGACTGCCTCATTTAATGCAGACAAGCTAACTGCATTTTGCTCCAGAATGAAGCCTAGGGGCCACTGAAGCTGTTGCCTACACTTGAGCTGACTGGCACACAGCCTTTACACCAACACTAGACTGAAAAATAAACCAGAAACTTCACCCTCTTAAGGGCTCAGTAGTTTCACCAGGGCTGCTTAAGAAACATGCTATAGTATTACAGGTCCGTAGCCTCCAAGGTGAATTATGAATTTGAGCCTTACCGACCAATGCTCTTCTCTTTGAATTTAGCCTTCAAAGAACGCGCAACCGTTTTAAAAAAAATTAGGTCTGATGGAGTTTAAAGTCTACAAAATCTTTAAGGAAACGTGTCACACAGGTCCCAGATTTAGAGATCCTTTCACGCCCAGAGCAAAACCTCGCCCGCAACAAAGGGCTCGTGTGGGGCAGGCAGAGCAGGAGGCGGTGCAGGCAGGGGGCAGCCGGGCTCACCCGCCCCGTGGGCCCCGGGGCAGCAG